GCTGACCTCTCAGGGTATATGTGTGTGTGTGTGTGTACCAATATTTTGTGCCATTCTTTGAGTACTTTTGCTATTAGCCACAATCTACAAAGGGTTTGTGACCATAAAAAAAAATCATAACTCCACCAGTAGGAAAGGCCTCTGGAGGAGCCCCATCCTCTTGAGTAAGGGCAGGAGTGTGGTGTAGCTGCTAAAATCCAAGAGGCCAGCTTCTGAGGGCACGTGGTGCTCAGTAGAAGGCAGGGCTTCCCTAGGAAATGTCTAATGCCTTTTCGTATAATTCATGACCAGAGGAAACTTTGGTCCACAACCCCCCAAAATGATCCACTAAAGGGAGACAGGAGACTGAAAAGTAAGTTTCAGAGAAGGAATCAGAAGGGTGGGCAAGATGTAGGAATAAGGAAATCATACAATTCAGATCCCAATTGATCTAATGTTTCTAGAATCTTCACTTCTTCATCTATTTATGACTGCTACTTATTAATGAGCTCCCCCTTTCTAGCCAGGTAAAAAAGGAGGGAAATGGAGTCAGTTACTGTGCTCCTATACTGAGACCCACAGAATACTGATGCCTTAGGGACCAATTAATTCATTCTCTATTTCACAGATGAGGAAACTGAAGAAGCAGCTTTTGGGAAGCTGGAGGTAGAACACTACCCTCTTCTCCTCTAAGTAAGATCGAACCACCTGGAGAGTGCTGGATTTGGAAACCACAGAAGTGTTTCTGGGGCAACACTGGCCCAGTTGTCAATCCTTAATCCACACCCTCAACTGGCCGATTTCTGATTTTACTCCACAAAAGCCTCTATGTTCTATGAATATGATTTCCAGACTTGGCTGTACTACAAGTATATATTTTTAAATAGCCAGATTTAATTTTTTCCCCATAAATTAATTGCACAGAAAAGGAAATGGGCTGGTATCATCATCCTAAAACAGGACAGGCACCCGAAGACCCTGCTCCTTTTCTCTACTCTGTCTCTCAGGAGACTGAAGTAAATACGAAAACCTGGCAGACAAGGCTCGTGGTGCTGTCCACGGGTGGGGGGGAGAGTGGCACTTTGCCCCCCGCAGGTACAGGCAGTGGAGAAAGCTCTGTGTGAACCAACAGAGAATGTGCTTCTACCTGGCAGTGTCCCTCCTTACACGCAGGAGCTAGAGCAGGAGTCCCGAGCTGGCAGGGAACATCACCATGCAGGCCTAGAGTGGGCTTCAGAGACGGGCCAGCGAGCGTCCCTGAATTTGTGGCAGCAGTACTGGACCCATCACATAAAAAGTGGGTTACTATGAAAGTTCTGAGACAGACTGTGTTATGTATGGCCCATTATTTCACTTCCAAGAAACACAGATGACAGTGACCCTTCTGATTCACCCATGCAAGTTTTAACTTGCCTGGCTTATTAGTGTTGCTGGGAGGGCTTCATTTCTTTCTATGTGGATTTTACATTTCTTGATTTTTATGGATCCCAAACCTTTGCAACAACCCATGTATGTAGGAGACTGAGTCCAAGAAAAGCAAATGTCCTTATAGTCTGTGAGTGGCAGGATTAAGACAGTTTTCTCCTCTGATTTCCAGGTCCTTACTTGTTTTTATACTGGAGAACCTTCTGCCTGTGCTGTTATTTTGCTACGGACACGTTAGGGAAGACAGCGAAAGGCACAGGAGGCAGCACTACGGCTCTTCCAGCATGCAGTGCTACGGTGGTTACATAGAACATAGTTCTCAAGCTCCCACTTCCAATGCCAAGCCAAAATACAGCTTAGTGAGGGAGGGGGCTTACGGCTTTTCCTTTGTAGGCAGAACCTGGCAGGTGCAGACAGTTTGCAACCACTGTACTGTGGGCAGCACAGTCTACACATCCCCTGGGCCTGTTATGCTGCAGTGCATTGAAGTACTTGGAAGTTCTATAACCCATTCCTTCCTTCCCTTGATTTCCTCCAGCCACCTGTAGAGATTCTGATACGACTGGAATGTGTCCTATCTCCTAGGTGTGCTGGGGCAAGGGAAAGTTTAATAACCACTGGTGTGGCTTCATGGGAAGTAGTCACAGCCCTGTGTTCCTCATACATAATTGATCAACTCCTTACCTAGTACCTTCTGAAGAGTTTTTCTAGATGAATGGAAATTCAATGCAAGTCACACGTGTAATTTAAAATTTCCTATTACTCGTATTTATTTTATTTTATTTTACTTTTTGAGACAGAGTCTCACTCTATCACCCTTGGTAGAGTACAGTGGAGTCACAGTTCACAGCAACCTTAAACTCTGGTACTCAAGCAATCCTCTTACCTCAGCCTCCCAAGGAACTGGGACTACAGGTGTCTGACACAATGCCTGGCTAGTTTTTCTATTTTTTAAGTACAGATAGGGTCTCACCCTTGTCCAGGCTGGTCTCGAATTCCTGAGCTCAAGTAATCTACCCCTTTTGCCTCCCAGAGTGCTAGGATTACAGGTGTGAGCCACTGAGCCCGGCTTATTAACCACATTTATAAATGGAAAAAGAAACAAGTGAAACATTAATAATATATTTAACTCAATATATCCAAAGTATTGTCCTCTCAACAAGTAATAAATATAAAATATGGTGTATAGCAGAGCCTCTCTAAGTTGACTACCTAAGGGGCTGTAACAAACGGGTCAATATACAGAGGTGGTCAACCTAAGGAATGAGGCTCCAGGGTGCATGTCTGGTCTGTGAACTTTAAGTCACCTTAAGGAGGTGGTCAGTGTAGGGAGACGGTCAACTGTGGAGTACATGTGTGTGTATAATAACAGTCTACCACATCTGATGTGTATTTTATTCTCCCAGCACATCTCAATGCACAATTAGCCACATTTCAAGTGCCAAATAGCCACATGTGGCTAATGGCTACCATCCTGGACAGCACAAGAGTAAACTGTTCTTAGTCCTCGGGGCTCAAAACCTACCCATACCGCTCTCACTGACATTAGTTTACTCCAATAGAAATAGAAATTTCTCCACAATAGCCATTCTCAGCTGTCTCAGGGCCCTTTCCCATCCAGATCTCACATGCTCACTTGGTCTTTACTGCATCCCATTTGTCCTCCAATTTCCTCTTGGTCATCAGGCAGTCATTACTGAGTGGCTACCAAGTGCTGGGTATAATCTGACATAGTTCCTGATTTCCAGGAGCTCTCCGCTTAGCAGGCACAAACACAAAGATGTGGTGGATGCTACCCAGAGCCTCATACAAAGGATGCATGGAGGAAGAAGTGACCGTTTCTCCTGGGCTTTCTGGAAACCATTCACAGAAGGGGACGTTGGGCTGGGTTTTAAAGGATGAGAAAAACTGTGAGAAAGTAGGGAAAAGGCATTTCAGGCACATCCAGGAATATGCTTCAGGAAAAGCATATTCCAGAGTCTGAGGACACATGTGGTTGGAAATGGCAAGCGTCTAGCAGGCCAGAACATGACGAGGAGCGCCTGGAGGGAGGCAGGCCAGTCGGTGGGGCCCCAGTGCCTGATGACACATTTAGAATTACTCTGGGGTGATTCTCTGAGCAGGGAAACTGTGTGGTGATCCATAGCACAGCCTGGAGAGGACCAAGAAGTAAGGAGAGCCTGAACTAAGGGGGGAGCAGTGTGTCCAGAAAGGAGGCAATGTAAGAGCACTGTTTTCTAAAGCCCATCTCGAGATGAACCTGATGATGGAACCTGGGGAAAGGGCTCAACTTTTAAGGCTGCCTAGGCCCAAGCTCAGTAGGCAAGGGGCATCAGAGCCACGCACATGGTATTTATACAGGACCACAGTCTGTTGTGATATGGGAGCACACAATGTCCCCCTGCCCTGAAGGAATTACTAGGACTAATATTATCACACTGAATTAATTACTAGGAATTTTTTTTTTTTTTTGAGACAGAGCTTCAAGCTGTCCCCGTGGGTAGAGTGCCGTGGCATTACAGCTCACAGCAACCTCCAACTCCTGGGCTCAAGCGAGTCTCCTGCCTCCGCCTCCCAAGTAGCTGGGACCACAGACGCCCGCCACAACGCCCGGCTATTTTTTGGTTGCAGCCGTCATTGTTGTTTGGCGGGTCCGGGCTGGGGATTCGAACCCGCCACCTTAGGTGTACATGGCTAGCGCCTTAGCCGGTTGAGCCACAGGCGCCGAGCCTAATTACTAGGAATTAATAGTATCACACTGAATTACTTCTGGGAAAGTCACACGTGGGAGACCTAGCAGGTGGTGGGCAGCACCTGACCAGTCCTATCAGATGACGTGCTGGCTCACATAACCCTGGAGCCCAGACGTGGCTAATTTGACCAGAAGTTTCTTGGAAGAGGTTCCAGAGCTCTCAGGTCATATCAGAGCAACAACGTGACATCTACAGAGAGAAGGAGCCTCAGACATCCCCTGGGTTCTCCTTCTGTGGATGGGCACAGTTGAGGCACGGAGAGTGAAGGAGCTTGCTGGCCACACAGCTACTAAGAGGCAGAGCCAAGAATAGGATTCACCTTTCCTTGGTAGCCAACAATAATTTTAAAAGCAGAATGAAAGGGGTAATAGACTAAATGCAGTATCAGGAGTGGTGGAATAGTTTGCTTGTTCTGGTAGCATTTATAAATGTAGCATGTATAAATGCTACTAATGGTTCAATACGAAAAGAGAATTCACCTTTCTTGATTCACAAGCAGGTGCTCCTCTCACCGGAGCCACAGTGAGATATGTGTGATGAAGAACTGTACCCTCACAGCAGCTCAGGTGGAAAGAGAGAAAGCTTGGCTAGAGACACACGAGATCTTTTATCTCACAGCACACTTGAACCTATAGTTAAACTTCCATGGCACACTTATATTATGTTAATCAATAAAAAAAGAGTAAGAAAAAGAATATACTTACTGTGCTTTGAACTTCTTTTGAAAATAATTTAGGTAATAATCTTTCCTGGCACATTGGCTGAAAATCACTGCACTAGGTAATAAAAGCTTCTTTGTGAGCTGAGGAGATATGATGTGGTAGCAGCAAACTGGGTACTCACATGGTGAAGAGTCTACAAAGTTGGGGTCGATATTATGCAGCAGCTCCACTCTGGGGGAGGGGCTTCCTTCACTGCAAAAGAATTTTTAAGGAAATGTTAATTTCCTCTTTTCAAATGGGTGCAGGTTATTTTAATACTTCCTTTCCTTGTCATTGTAGGAAGTAACAAAGCGGCCAGTTAAGAACTTTGTGATGAATTCAGAGGTCTCTAAAATCTATGGTTGGTACATCTTCCACCGGTAGTCATCATTTGTCAATATTTTAATGATGAAACATTTCACATAAACACATCAATGTCAACATATGATGATTTAATAAAAGAGTCCTGGGACCTTTTGCAATAAACATGGTGGCTGTATTTAAATACGATCATTCTTTACACCAGAGAAATGAGAACTCGAGTCATCCTGTGTAGACTTTATACTGAACACTTGCAAAGAAATGAAGAAAGAGCATCTGCCAAAATAGTGGCACCAATACAAGGGTCACTATGAAAGTTTCGAGAAAGACTATCTTATGGGCCATTATTTCACTTCCCAGAAATAGTCAACAGCATCCTTTTTGATTCCCCCATGCAAGTGTCAACTTGCTCAGCTTATGGGTGTTGTTAGGAAGGCTTCATCTGTTTCCATTCATGTGGATTTTATGTTTCTTGATTTCTTTTTGTATTTCAAAATTTTCATAATGACCTGTGTATTACAGATGCAACTTATGTCTTAAAGATTAGCCTACGTAATAAAAATTAATGTCTTCCATATCCAAATTTGCAACATGAATCTTAGATTTAATACAAATACAAGTGAAATAAATAGATCTCTTTAATATTTTTTTTCAAAAAGTGTACATGTACGTACAATCACAGCCTACATCAGTGCTGAAAAGTAACTTGGAGATGACTTGGACTCAACCCTCTCCTGTTACAAAGAAGGAATGTAGTAGAATATTGGGTTGTGTGACACTCAAAGGAGTGTTTATAAAATACTGGAAGCATAAATACCACCAGATGTATATGAGTATCTCATAAAGTACCCAGGTCATTTTGCTAATATAGACTCAGCTTTATGGAAATTGTTAAATACTATTTAAATCATTGAGAGAGTACTGGGAACTACTTCATAATCTAAGGGTTAAGCCAAGCACTAAAAGTTTCAAAGTACTGTTGACACCATAGGATTTGTACACAATCTGAATAACCAGTAAAGCAAGAGGACATGCTTTTAGGTGGCCAATGTCTACACCCCAAACTCAGAGCTAGCTGTCTATAAGATGTTGTTGTCTTTCTCTATTTGGCCAATGTCTACACCCCAAACTCAGAGCTAGTTGCCTATAAGATGTTGTTGTCTTTCTCTATTTCATAAAATGCACTGACTAGAGAGAGTGGCAGGGCAGTCCTAAGGACAGCAGGGTGGCATTGTAGGGTGGAGTGTAAGATGCAGGTGGGGAGAAGGCACATGTCCCAGGACTTTTCTCTTCTCATTTCCTTACTTAAGCACTTTAACTACCTGTATGCCCTGCGAAGTGTCAACCAGTCTAAAATACCAGGAACTAAGGTTTGAGCCCAGAAGTTCTGAATGTAAGTAGGGATGATATACAAAGAAAATGGTAAATAGGAGAAAATCTACACAGAATGATGATGATGATGTCTGACTTGTGGGCTTAGAACCAAGCAAATAGAATTAAAAGCCTGGATAATAATAGCAAGTAAATGAGGAAGGGAAATCAGAATAAAAGCATTTAAAGTCTTTGTAGTGTCTGTAAAGAGGGTAAAGCGAGCGACTAAATTTATACTCAATTAAGTAAAGTTTGTGCATTGAATTTGTAGGGGAAACGTTAATATAAAAATAGATTTTTCTTCTGGACTATGGGCAAAAACCCTAAAATTTCAGTGCCAATATATTAATATGTAACCACTCATCCTTAAAAGCAGAGATCACTGGAAAATTCCAAAATATTACGCATAGTTAAATGAAGGACATTTTACTAATAACTTTAGAGAGAGTTCATATATATATTATTCATTCATTTTATTTTTCTATTATTCAGAAGAGTCATAGATATTTCAAAATAAGGACATTTAATAAGACGAGATGACTTTTTTGTACACCAAAGGTTGTGGACAATCCTAGTTCACTAATTGCTTGTTGGGAAAAATCTTCATAGGCAAAACCATCCTGATGCAAACAAAACAGGAGCTAACATTCCCCACTATCTTAAGTATGTTGTGATTCTACTTTTATAATGCTCTAATCAGAACATTTTGATAAGGATGTGGTTGGAGTTAAGAGGCGAGAAAACACAATGTGTGACAAGTAATTAAAACAATGACCAAACACCCTTAGAAAGTCCCTATGGGGGAAGGAAGGAAAGACTGTGGTTTTCCATTAGTGGCTAATACATTAAATTATTAGCATAGGGCAGTGCCTGTGGCTCAAAGGAGTAAGGCACTGGCCCCATATGCCAGAGGTGGTGGGTTCAAACCCAGCCCTGGCCAAAAACTGCAAAAAAATCAAAATCAAAATAAAAAAATTATTAGCACAGATTATCTGAAGAATTACACACACAAACACACACACATATCAATTTAAGAAGACACAGAAACCACCACTGATTAATTTCAGTGGCGACAAGGCATAGTTACAGATGCTGGAACCAAGAAGAAAGACTAAGGTCACCTGGAGTTGGAGCTGGGGGGACATAGAGCTGGGGTGAGGAGGGAAAGAGGGGGAGATAAACTGAGAGATCTCAGGCCAATTCTGTAAGCCTCATAATTTTGCCTAGGAAATAGTTTAGAGTCATAATTTTGAACACCAGTAAAGGGCATGAGGAAGAGTTTGGCTTTGTTCAAGCTGAAGCTACTTCAAGACCTAAGCTCTGAGACAAGGTAATTTGAAGCAAAGGAGGAAGTGAGAAGCAAAAAGGAGGATTAGGAGGTGAACAAGAAGAAAGGACACATGAGGAGGAACCAACGGGAAAATTTAGGCAACATGAGAAACCAAAACAGAGGAATGCCACCAAGGGACCGTGAGGCAGCTACTGCAGAAGACTCCACCTATAAAGAGTTAATGGGTTTGGCAGAAAGGGAATTTAAAATATGGATGATAAAGACAATAAAAGGAATAGATGAGAAAATGGAAAGACAGGACCAAAAGAAGGATGAGAGATATGTAGAATATAGAAAGGATACAGTGGAGCTTAAGAAAATGAAGGAGACACTCAGGGAATGTAAAGATGCAGTAGACAGTATCAAAATTAGGTTGGACCATGGAGAAGAAAGAACCTCACAGCTAGAGGATAAAGTTTTGAGTTAACCCAGGTAGTTAAAGAGGCATAAAAGAAGCGAGAGAAAGCAGAATAGGCACTTGGAGAACTGAGACTCCATGAAGTGTTCAAACATATGAATAATAGGGATTCTTGAAGAGGAAGAAGATTGTCCTGAAGGAAGGGAAGCCCTCTTGGAGACTATCATAAATGAAAACTTCCCAAGTTTTACTAAAGACCCTTACACACTTTTTTCAGATGAATATCGAACCCTGGGTCATCTTAACTAAAACAGAGCTTCTCCAAGACACATTGTAATGAACCTGTCCAAAGTCAAGATGAAAAAAAAAATACTACAAGCAGCCAGGAGTAAGTACCAACTGACCTACGGAGGCAGAGCGGAGGCAGAGCCATTAGGATGTCAGCAGACTTTTCAACTGAAACTTTCCAAACCAGAAGAACATGATCATCTACCTTCAACATTCTTAAAACAATTTTCAGGGCTGGGCGTGGTGGCTCAAACCTGTAATCCCAGCCTGGGAGGCCAAGGTGGATGGATTGCCTGAGCTCAGGAGTTCAAGACCAGCCTAAGCAAGAGTGAGACCCTGTGTCTAAAAATTAGGTGGGTGTTGTGGTGGGTGCTGTGGTGGGTGCCTGTAGTCCCAGCTACTTGGAAGGCTGAGGCAAGAGAATCACTTGAGCCCAAGAGTTTGAGGTTGCTGTGAGCTGTGTTGCCATAGCACTCTATGGATGGTGACAGAGTAAAAAAAAGAAAAGCACTGTTCTAGAGTAAGATTCTTAACCTTGGCTACATACTGCAGCCACCTGAGGAGCTTTAAATAAAACTGATGCTTGTGTTCTATACCAAGAGATTGATTTATTGGTCTGAGATTCAGCCTGAGCATAAACATTTGTAAAAGTACCCAAGCAGATTTTTTAAAATTTAGCTTTTATTTAAACATAAGTTACAAACCATATATATAGTCACCCAATGGAACTGTGTACTGAACTGTTTTTTAGTATGGTTACAGAGTAGCACAGTCATCGGCTGCAGCCTAATTTTAGCATATTTTTGTCCTCCCAAAAGAAATTCTGCACCAGCCAGGTGCAGTGGTTCATGACTGTTATCCCAGAACTTTGGGAGGCTAAGGTAGAATGATCCTTCCTGAGGCCAGGAGTTTGAGACCAGCTTGGGAAACATAGCAAGACTCCTGCCTCTAAAAAACTTTTTAAAAGCCTAGCTGGGCACAGTGGTGTGCACCTGTAATACTACCTACCCAGGAGTTGAGGCAGAAGGACCCTTGAGCCCAGGAGTTTGACACTACAGTGAGCTATGATCACAGCATTATTCCCCAGCCTAGGTGATAGAATGAGACCTTGTCTCACCATAAAACAAAGAAAATAAAGAAAGAAATCTTGCATCCATTAGCAGTCACTCTTCACTTTCTACTTCACCCCATCCAAATGTTTCATATAAATGAAATGATACAATACGTGGCCTTTTGTGTCTGGCTTTTTTCACTGAGCATAATGTTTTCAAGGTCCATCCATGTTGCAGCATGCAGTAAACACTTCATTCCTTTATATGACTGAATAGTATTCCATTGTATGAACAGACCACATTTATCAGTAGATGACATTTGAGTTGTTTCCACTTTTAGCTACTATGAATAATTCCCTACTATGAACACCCGGGTACAAGTTTTCATGTGAACATTTGGTTTCGTTTCTCTTGACCATACAACTAGCACTAGAATTACTGGGTCATATGGTAACTCTAGATTTAACCTTCCGAGGACCCGCCAAACTGTTTT